GGGAAGAAATGGGGAGCTGATATCAGGGGCTCAAGTGGGAAGAGAATGCTTTGAAAATGATGATGGCGGCATATGTGCAAATGTGCTTGACACCCTGGATGAATGCATGGATTGTGATGCCCCCAATACAAGTATTTAATTAAGAAAAAGAAAAAAAGCAAGAAAGCAGAAGTCCAATAAATTATCATCTTTATGCAGAATTTTTCCTTTACCCTTTTCTTTTCAGGTAGAGTAACAAGATCAAAGAGTTTAAATTGTGTTAAGGGGCTTGCTTAAACTGCTCATAAAAGGTCGAACCGAGCCACAGCTAAACAGCAATAGAAAGTTGTTTATCAGCGTTGGCGCATTTGTTTTTTGCTATTTGCTCAGAAGCAAACGGTGTCCATGGTTTGGGTTTTCCATTCTCTGATTGCCAGTAAAGTTAACCTTCACAGATCTCCATTAGTCATGCACATTTTCTTATTCTTTATCTGCTCATTCTCTTAGGAATATGTAATCAAAGGCAGCAGAGCTCTAGAAAGACTTAAAAGAGGGAACAAGTGGGGAGCCTTCACTACTGCTTCCAAGCAGCCATCACAGGGGAAAGGCAGAGTGGGGGAGCAGCAATGCTGAGTCATGATGGAGCAGCAGTGCTGAGTCATGATGGTGCGGCAGCCTGGCTATGAGGAAGACACAGTTCCATCTCCCTCGGATCTCTTCCTGTTCCTTTCTCTGAGCGCTCCCATCACTCCCTGCTGCATCATGCAGTAAGGCACGCAGTACCCAGGAGGCCTGGCCGGGTTCACACAGTGTTCAGAGCTGGGCAGTCAGGCAAATGATGAGATTAGTGTGATGAGTCTGCCAAACACAAGGCCGGCAAGGGGAAAGGGCCGCAGGTGATGTCTCGTTGGTTCTGACAAGCTTCCGTGAGAGGATACAAGGCGGATTTAGGGATGGGAAATGAGGTCAATGACATGAGGGAAAGATAGAAAAATAAGCAAACGGGGAAAACAGAATGAGGAGTATATGGACTCTAACATTTCTGAAAAGAGGTAGCCATTGCTTATAGGATATACTGTCAACCCCAAAGAGGTTTCTTTGGAAACTTGGACACATATTCTTAGCAGCAGCAACTAATGGTCAAAGTTTTACTTACAAAGGTAAGTTAAGAAAAAAATTTTAAAAAAGGTATCACTACTAGAGTTCCTGTTCATACAGGCCTTGGTTTATTCCAAACCAAATGAGATGCGTTTCCTTTTTTTTTATTTTTTATTTAAAGGTTTGAATGGAGTGAGTTTATTGAAGGGGGTCTTTTTGTGAGATGCGTTTCCATATGTCTCTGTGACCAGTAGATGATTCCAGACAAGTTCCCTCAGGCATGCATTTGTCTTAGTATTGTTAGGGGGCCTTAAAAAAATGGGGGGGGGGTAGTTTTGTGCCATGGGGGGGGGAAATAATTTTGAGGTTAGGGTTAATATCAAAATTTTAACAAAACTCAAGTGAACAGCTACCCAAATCATTGAAGATTTGCACCAAGTTTAGGGGACTGCTGCCCTAGCGTTTTAAGGAAGGCCAGGATGGTCTCAAAGATGAGTCATGAGAGGGAAGTCCAATGAGGTAGTTAGTGTATCGTGCCAACCTGGCTGATAAACACATGTGGGGTTAACTGAAGGGCGGAGGGATAAATGGCTCAGTGAGCCTCGCCTTTCTGGTTCTCGGGTCTCTTGCTTTCTGATGGTCGGACCAGGGTGCAGCTAGCTGCCTTAGTCAGTTCCCTGCTTTAGCTGGCAGGGCTCACTTCCTGTAAGACATCCCTGGAGGAGAAGCCACATGGACCTACCCCGATGCAGCCCTGGGTGCTGGACCAGCTGTGTGGAGACCCCTTCCAGTGCTGAGATGCTTACACATTCACTGACTCGGCTTTCCTCCTGCAGTCGGCATCATTGCGTGTGTTTTGTGAGATGGAGGAGGGCTTTGTGGATTGGTGTTGGACATATGGGTTAATGGGTCAATGTTGGACTTGTGGGCTTGGGCAGCACTGGGTTGGGATGTTTTCTTGATGTGCATTTAACTTAAAACTCTCTCTTATACATGAGTTTCTGTGGATTTGTTTCTCTAAAGTACCCAGAGTAACACACCCAACGATCTCAACAAACGAAGAAACTGGCCGAAGTCCAGGGAGTGGTGGAAGGGGGCTGTACAGTTACCATTGACAAAATAGCTGCTGAAGTAGGGTGGATAGACTTCGTCTCCCGTACTTTGGACACGTTGTCAGGAGAGATCAGTCCCTAGAGAAGGACGTCATGAAGAGGGGCAGCAAAAGAGAGGCACGTTCTCAAGAAGATGGATCGACAGCAATGGGCTCAAACACGGGAACAACTGTGGGCATGGTGCGGGACCAGGCAGTGTTTCATCCAGTTGGGCCATGGGTCAGAACCGACTCAAAACACCAGGAGCAATAGCACCTTGGTGTCAGCAAGCCTTTGGAAAAGCATCACAAAAGCACTGGGGGAAGATCGCTATCTGAAAAAGCTGATCATCCTATCAGCCTTCCAAGCAAGACCCAAACTAACGAAGACCATTTTTTACAGAAGGAATTATCACGCAGAGCCAGTCTTGGATTTAGAACAGGACGTCTTGGGCTAATTAAATTCAAGGCAGAGGGGTCAGCTTAGAAGATTATGGCAATCGTTTTTTAGGGTCCCAAAGGGGTCATCATTGGTGGGTTTTGTCAAAGGAAACAGGACTTTCACTGAAGCTCATGATGTGAAAGTTTTGAGAAAATTGAAAACTGCCTTGGTGAGAAAAAGGCCATGAACCTTGCACGGAGGACTCTTTGGACCTCAACATTCCCGCTCATTCTGCAAAGGTCGGAGGGGATACCCTAGGAGAATTTCACTGGGAACCCTCACCCCATTCACTTAACAGCCTGTTCTTGGATCTCTTTTGTTCCTCAGACTCAAAGAACATTTAAAAGAAAGATGATCTCGGCCCCTCGGCGATGCACACTGCAGTTTGTGCACAGTATCAATGAAACAGGTGAGGGCTAGAACGATGAAACACTGCCTTCACAATGATGAAACATACGCCTCGCTGGAGGGTATGCTGGAACACAATGGCTTTATATTTTGATATTTTGTTTAACAAATGTTTCTATAATTCTGTAGCTATTCTTTTTTTTTTTTTAACTTATCTTCATAGCCCCACTGCTGAGGCTCCCAAGTCCTTCTCCTGAAAGCCTTCTGTTTCTTTCCCGGGCTGTGCTGTCACAGCTAAGCTCCTCTAGAGCAATGGTCTCTATCCTTCTTTGCTCTCACACTTCTTCCCCAATTCTGAAAGACTATAAGCATGCTTGAGTTGGAATCACGGTGAAGGTTGTACTTGTCACATATTGGAAATACGGATCGTTTGAAATGAAACTTTTGAGTCACTCTTAACTATCTCCAATGGCATAAAAACCACACATCAAAATGATTAGATAGTAAAAATAGTGAGTGAGCTCTTCCGCGTGCACACTTTGTAACATTTCCCTGTTTATCTTTAGATCTGTAGTTTTAGTCCTTACCAAATATTTTCCTAATGTAATACATATGTGTACTTTAAATTCTTTGATTAATTACCATCTCTGCAGCCACCACAAAACATATGCATATAAATTTACATTGACGTTTCTTTTCAATTCTTCTGACCAGAAGACCTTAAGTGAAAAAAGACTTCCACGTGGAGAGATTTTCATCAATTGTATATTGGTTATTGTGATAACATTATAATTTTTAAAAAACAATCCCACAGAGGCCATTTATTGTGGTTGAGTAAGAACCTAAGGGTAATGAAAACACTATGAGCCATGTTTTAGAACTATATTCATAACCAAGAACACTTAAGCTGAGCTCTTGCCCTCAGCTTCTTGCTTCAATGGTCGTTTCTCGTTGGACACACTTTGTAGCAGAGTAATGCTACCTCCTTTCAGCATGATCTGTCCCACTTGTTCTTGACTTTGCTTTAGAATGAATCTCTTCTGCATCATCTAATACAAGGTTCATGTACTCATCAAAGCCTGTGATCCAGCCCTCTAGTCACATATGCACTTGCTCATAGAGCCACACCTGAATCCGGGATCGTTCTCTTTTAGCTGAGTCTCGGCCTGTTACTTCCCTGTTTCCTGGCCTGAATCTCCCACTCCCGGCCACCGGCATAGATACGGTGGGCTGCACCATTACCTTCTGTACTTTCTGGCCTTGGCCACGGTACGCCATTGTGGAAGCTCAGAGAGACCACACTGCAACATTACAATGGTTATTAAGGCCAGAAGCATGCCCAGTAACATTTTTGAGGAGATAGCTGCTAATGAAATGGATGAACGCCCCTTTCATTAGTTCATGTGATCAGGGATTACTGTCATTCCTAGAATAGGAGGTCTACATTGGACTGAAGGATAAGCAACAGTTCCATGCCTATATTTCATTCTGATGCATCTTGTCCACGTAACATGTCAATTCAATTCTAGGGACTCCTTTAGGGACAAATGCCAATAACTACCTTGTGGACTATCACCAAAAATTCAACAACCCATCGACATAATTAAAGCCTTGTTTCAACTGTTGAAACATGCAAAAAAGATGCTCTGACCTTTGGCCGGACTCCCGGGGTGATGTGAGACTGGGGATGGGCAGTAAGGATGCTCTCCTTTAGGGCAGTGGAAAAAAGAGCAATTGAGAATGGAGAGATAGAAGACAAGGGAAAAGAGCCAGGTGTTCATGTGAAGGTGGAGCTTTAGAAAGATTCCTTTAAAACTTTGCATGAAATGCACAACTGATGACTTGAAAAATATAGCCACTGTCACTAACACTGTTCATGGAGAAGCTGTTGAATTGGTGTTTGTTCTCTGTGGGATTATAAAGAGACTTTCCCCCAGCTTTGTCTTCCCCCAAAGACATGCCAAACATTAGGGGGGTTTTTGCCAGCATATGGGGGGAGGTCAGATGCTTACAGACATCCTCCCTAAAGGCAATCAGTCACCAGACTACAGTAGACCCTGCTCCCTGCTGTTAGGGACAATGAGCTACTTGACCATTAGCTTGGTTCCTGTAGGTGGAGTTTACACCCTACTGATAATGGTGCCAGGAGACAGGTCAAACCGGCTCTCCATGACATCCAAAGTTAAGCTGCCATCCTGAATCTAGGATCCGCCCATCTTGTCACATGTACACCCCCAATCCCTCCTCTTCCTATTGTGTATATATCCCCAGATTGTCCCCCTCATTGCTGTATAATCCATAGTGCAACCCCTTCCTGTGATGTATGTCTTTACCTGTAATTAGTGGGCTTGCACTCCCTGCCAAAGATATATAGCCTGGGTTAGCAATAAAAATCTCTCTCGGCTCCTCCCTTGGCCTCTCATCAGCTCCCTTCCTCTGCTCCCCTGTTCCCTTTCCCCTTGTCTTCCTTCCCTTCCCCCTCTCTCCACGTGGACCAACAAGCGGGGCTGAGGTGAGCATTGCTACTATGAAATATGTCTGACTCTATTATTTCAATTTCTTTTCTATCTCTCATGCTCTCAATGACTTTATTATTATGTATATATATCAACGGTACAATTGTGCCTATCGAACCCGTGATTAGTGGTGGGGGGCTGGCACCCCTTCCAACCACAGTTCTCCTGTGTGTATGTATCTCCACAACAACAAAACTATTTTGTGAGAGTAGAAAGCCTCACCTTTCCCCCGTGGAGCATGGTTTTGAACTGCTAACCTCACGGCTAGCAGCCCAGTGCAGAACACACTGCACCACCAGGGGTCCTTAACAAAATGATTTTAAAACCACAACATCACTTTGCTTGCTTTCGTTCCCTTCGGAAAGCCCCGACACACCACAGTGCTAGAGTGAGAACCCAGAAGCTTTACGAGTTAAGAGATTTTCCAAATCCTCAGCTTTGACACATCATCTCTTCTGAGAATGAGCCTGTGGTTAAGAAGCCCCTTCATCCCCTGGTCGCTTACATTCTAAGACAGAGAGACCCCTGGGATTCTCTAAGCTTCTTACCCCACACGGTGAGTTGTTAGTCTGCGTGCTATTGTCCTGAGCTCCTGGGTGAGGGACGGCCAGCTGACTCTTCCAGTCCCCCAGCTGGCGGGACAGGACCTCCAAAATGACAAGAGAGCTCAGCAGGTTCTCTTCCAGATCACGTCGCGACAAGGCAGTCAGATCCGGAGGACGGCTGAAGCGAGAGGGAAGACCATGAGGACCATGAAGGAGGGAAAGGGGTGAAAGCGACGGGTTTAGAGCAGGGCTGTCAAACTGAAATGAAAATAGAAAACATTGTTTGGAAGAAAACAGCGCTGAGGGGAGATCGAGGCAATACCGTACACACAATTCCCTCGTTACATTTTATTTCAGAGTTTCGTGGGCCACAAAAAGTTACCTCGGGGTCCGCATGGGGCCCAGGGGCAGCCAGTTTGACACCCCTGGTTTAGAGTAAAGAAACATAGCCCCATAGGCACAAGGACTTTGGGGCACTTACCCCAATGTGAGGTGCTCAGAACATCTGTCTTTAATGCTCTCCAAGCCTTTCTGAGACGTGTTTGTACCCTTTTCCTCTACTGCTGGGGGACTAAACCAAGTCCCCACCGAGCACGTCGAGAAGCAGGGGGTGCCAATCGAAGCATCCCGAAGCACAGAAGGGAGGCATAAGCTCTGGCGGAGATTTTCCAGCATGATCGAGGTGTTTTTTCCACCTTTTTCCAGCCAAGTCAGTGGGGACATCCAGGGCCCTGGGTCAGAGACAAGAACCACGCTGGCATCTTCTGCTGGGCTTGGAGCTGCCTCAGAGGTTGCTTCCACTGGATCTGGTATCGGGCATCTGGTATCGCCCATCGCTGACACAAGCGCTCCATCCTCCAAGTCAGCTTCCTCAGGGGGAGCTGGAAGGCTCACGTCGCGTTCCTCTGTTGCTCCGGTTTCTTCCCCTGGCTCCACAGGATTGACAGGGAAATCTGCCTCCAAAGCAGTTGAAGGGGAAAGCCGGGACAGCACGGAGGGCCAGAAGGTATTGCTTTCAGAAGGAACCATGCTCTCAGGCACAGCCTCAGTCCCACTGTCTCTCGGGCTCTCCTTGGGGCAGTGCAGTTGTTGCCCAGAACAGGGATTTGGGGAACACTCCAAAAGGTGGCATGGGAGAGCCTGAAATGTAGGTTTCTCGGGCATGGCAGCAGTGACTTCTGAAGAGCTGTCTTTCATACAGGGCACCATCCCCTCTCTCCCCAGGTCTCCTGGCCTCCAAGGCTCCTCAAGAGAGATGCTGTCTGTCTCTTCCATGGCAGCTACAGGAGCCGCAAGGGGAATGTCTTGCTGCTGCTCCACGAGAGAGGGGCCAAGGACCATGGTTTTAACCAGATAGCTGTCCGATAGCTGTACTGCTTCTTCAGATGTTTTGGGAGTAGAGCTGGTATTGGGAATCTGGTCTAGGAGCTGCTCATCCGATTCATGCTGACAGGCTTCCAACCACGTTGAGGGAGCGCTGAATAGCTCTGAAGGGAAATCGGTCCTCTTGGTACTGACAAGAGCCTGTGGAGATGACTTGTTGCTGCTTTTCTGCAAAAGGGAACAGGCAGTTGACTAAGGCAGTTGAGTGAAATTTCCAACATACATACACCTATGGATGCAGAATACAAGTACTGTCCAGACTCACTCCCCCTCCTTAGGTAAGACTTTTGCTAATGCTGTTGCTTGCTACAGAGACCCAGAAGGAGAGGAAGAAAAGCTAGTTAACCATTTTCTGGATATTCAAAAGCAGCGGTTCTCAACCTATGGGTCGCAACCTATGAATCGCCCAGTTCATAACAGTAGCAAAATGACAGTGATGAAGTAGCAACAAAAATAATTATATGGTTGCGGGGTCACCACAGCACGAGGAACTGTATGAAAGGGTTGTGGCATTAGGAAGGTGGAGAACCACCGTTCTAAGGGAATCAGCCTACAGTATAAACAGATTGAGGTCATCTACTCATATCACTGTGAGGTGGTCGGGTGAATCTATTCCACTGCCTAACTCCAACCTACTTCTAGGGGAACAGACAAGAAAGACCTGTAGAATGTGAGTGGAGGTTCAAGTTCTGTTGGCACAAGATTGTCTACCTTAAAGTACAGATAAGAATCTAGAGGCCAAAGTCAGAGAGCACTGGGAACAGCGATTAGCTTGAGGTAGACCCAGAGTATAGTTGGTCCCCAAAGATTCAGGGACCCCAAAGATAAAGAGAGTAACATTAACCTTTGCCAGTGGTATCATCTCCCTGGCCCCCAAGATCTGAGGGAGCCCAGAACATGAGGATGAAATCCATTTGAACTTGGGGACTTGAAAGGCTCTGGGTTTTGTAGCCGAGAAGGCTGAAGAGCAGAGACTTCCTCCAGGTGTCCTAACAAGGGACTGAAAACCTACTTCCTGTTGTCCACAGGGACAGAGCCACTGTACAGAGCCACTTGATGGGCTACTGCCACTGACGGTGTTCCACTGACTAGAACTGAGACCAAATGAGCAAGAAACAGACAATACTAATGTACTTGAGTGCAGAGAGCAGTCAGAGAAAGAACAAATCTTAAAGAGAGCTAGAAAACCATATGCCCAGGCAAACAGCTGCTACAAGAGACAGATGGCCACTGAACAACCCAGAGAAAATGTGAATACTCAAGGTGATTTAATTAGAATATAGCCCCAAGGAAGACTTTCTGGAGATAACAAATATTACTTCTACACTGAAAATTTCATTACAATAAATTGAAAAGAGGATGGTCAGAGTTAAGATTGGAATGGCTGAACTAGAAGAATAAGTGGAAGAAATATCTTAAAGCAAGGACAAAAATAAAAAGAAATGTAAATCTGAGGGAAAGCTAAGAGAAATGGATGATAAATCCAGCAAATCTAACAGGTGGAATTGTTGGGATCTTTTTTTTTTTTAAATCATTTTATTGGAGGGGGGCTCGTACAACTCTTATCACAATCCACACATCTGTCCATTGTGTCAAGCACATTTGCTGCCATCATCATTCTCAAAACATTTGCTTTCTACTTGAGCCCTTGGAATCAGCTCCTCATGTTTTCCCCTCCCTCCCCGCCCCCATCTCCATCATGAACCCTTGATAATTTATAGATTATTATTATTTTGTCATGCCTTACACTGTCCAATGTCTCCCTTCACACACTTTTCTGTTGTCGTCCCCCAGGGAGGGGGTTATATGTAGATCCTTATAATCTTGCTACCCCACCTTCCCAGTATTGCCACTCTCACCACTGGTCCTGAGGGGTTCATCTGTTCTGGATTCCCTGTGTTTCCAGTTCTTATTTGTACCAGTGTATACCCTCTGGTCTAGCCAGATTTGTAAGGTAGAATTGGGATCATGATAGTGGGGATGGGGTGGAAGCATTTAGGAACTAGAGGAAAGTTGTATGTTTCATCATTGCTACACTGCACCCTGACTGGCTCATCTCCCCGCAACCCTTCTGTAAGGGGATTTCCAGTTGCCTACAGATGGGCTTTGGGTCCCCAATCTGCACTCCCCCTCATTCACATTTATATGATTTTTTGTTCTTTGATGCCTGATACCTGATCCCTTCGACACCTTGTGATCACACAGGCTGGTGGGCTTCTTCCATGTGGGCTTTGTTGCTTCTGAGATAGATGGCCGCTTGTTTACCTTCAAGCCTTTAAGACCCCAGACGCTATATCTTTTGATAGCCGGGAACCATCAGCTTTCTTCTCCACATTTGTTTATGCACCTGCTTTGTCTTCAGTGATTGTGTCAGGAAGGTGAGTATCATGGAATGCCAGTTTAACAGAACAGCGTATTTTTGCATCGAGGGAGTACTTGAGTAGAAACCCAATGTCTATATTAAACCTATAAATATATGCACATAGATCTATTTCCCCATCCTCACATATATTTACATATGTACATGCCTGCATTTAGACCTCTATAAATGCCCTTTGCCTCCTAGTTCTTTCCTCTATTTCCTTTTACTTTCCTATTGTCCCACTATTATGCTCAGCCTTCATTTGGGTTTCAGTAATTCCTCTCGGTTACATTACCCTTGATCGAGCCCTACCTCTTACAACATCCTCGCCACCGATTTTGAACTACTTGTTGTTCCCTTGTCCCTGGGGTTCATTGTGATCTTTTATATACAAAGTATTTTATACAACTTAAAAAAAATTTTTTAAGAGGCCCAGGAAAAAATGATGAAATACTAAATTAAACTTTTTCTGTTTCATTTCCCTAAGGCTAAGGAAGGCCTTAACCAGCATATTAAAATGACTCAAAATCCCAAGCAGGAATGACAAAAAATATATACCTGTCTAGATAAATAATGGCAAAAATTAAGTAAAATTACTTAGAAGCCTTAAACAGAAAGATCAGTTACACACACAGACACAGAAAAACTTACATGAAATTTGAACTTTCTTAATTACAGCAGCAGATGAAACTTAAAAACATATGGTTGAGCTGAAGAAGCCAAACATACTATACACTGTATAATACCATGTGTATGGTATCCACAAGAGATCAAAATTATGTTTAAGTATAAAAATATAGACAATACAAATACAAAGGAAGTAATTACCACAAGTCAGAAAGTATCATGGTTTTTGGCAAATAACACATCCGTAAGGCACACATATGTAACTTGCACAGGAAAATAGTCCCCAAGGGGTGGTACCCAGTTTACATCATGCGCAGTGGACATCATTTGTGTAGAAATGTGGAAACCATCTTTGGTGGAAGATGGGTTGACCATGAGAAAGGCTTCTGACACTATCCTATTTATTTACCTAGGTGTTGGTTACATGGGTGTGTGCCTTATACTAATCTGTTAAGCTTTTATGTTTTGTGCACTTTTCTTTTCTATGTGCACTTGTATTTAATTAAAAATATATATATACCAGAACTCACTATATACAAAATAGCCTCAGAGCTAAATATACATAAAAAAGGCTGTTAGAAATGCAAGAGCCCAACATAAAACGTTTTGCTGTGTTTATAAAGTGTCTATTTATTTCTTTTTTAAAATTACTTTAAAGCTCTCACAAAATTCAACAGAGCTGGTAGACGAAAGCACATGTAAGAACAGAATAATTATCTGTCGAGAGATATAAATAGAATCCAACACTCTTTGAACATTAAATATACTTTGGGCTTGTTGTTGTTTTGTTGTACATTGTTGCTCGGTTTTGCTCTGTCTTGTTTTTGTGCATGTTATTGTCTCCGCAGGTCTGTCCAAATAAGATAGGCTGAATGAACAATCTGGAGGAGAAAACAACAGGACCAACAGTTCCAGGGAGACATGGGAGAAGGGGAGGAGAGGGGAAAGGTAGTGGTGTTAACAAACCTAGGTACAAGGGAACAACAAGTGATCCAAAACTGGGATAGTGGAAGGAAGGTGGGTTGGAAAGGAAGAACCAATTACAAGAATCTACATATAACCTCCTCCCTAGGGGACGGACAACAGAAAAATGGGTGAAGGGAGACATGGGACAGTGCAAGTTATCACAAAATAATAATTTATAAATTATCAAGGGTTCATGAGGGAGG